CTAAGTCGCACTGGCCATGTGACCATGGAAGATTGTCTTCGGACAAAACGCTGGCTCTATGGCTTGGAAACGGGGATGAGCACCGCCCCCTAGAATTGAACACGACTGGACAAAAATTGTCAAGGGGAACCTTTACCTTTTACCTTTACTCTTAAGTAAAAAAGGAACACCTCTTCCAGCTTGCTGTTCTTCTAAACAGGATAGACTAGGAAATGCAACATTATAAACGAAGGTAGACCATGTAGAACACTGGGTGGGTGAGTGTATAGATATATGGACACAGACTGTATTTACCTGAGGAATTCTGCTCACAGATATATCTCATAATCTTCATGAATCCAAGGCATATGCTCTGTTCGTACTGTTCTTCTTGCACCTTCACGCAAGCCCACTTAGCCTTCCCATAGTGCCGTCTCTCATAAAGAACCTCCCCAAACTGGAAATATTTAAAAGTGTTGGAGTTAACATGGCTATATGTCATTTAACACACAGTGCGCAGCATCTGTTGTGTGATAAGCCCCTTCAACAGCTAGGAAATCACCAAACATCTGCCTAGACAGCATAAGATCTGAAATATTGCCATTGTGAGTGAAGGAGAATATTTTTCTAACTCATAAACTCTCTTTCCGGTATAAGTATGCCATGGCTGCAAATAGGCTCAATGGAATTTATTTCAGCACTGTCACTTTCATACTAAGTCAGCCCAGTAGCATCAAAAAGACTTATTGTACTTTGGCTGCAAAACCGTAGGATTCCTTTGGAAGAAAATCAAATAACAGTGGACCATAGGAATAAGGTTAGAGAAAAACCACCGGTTTCCCTAAAAACAGTGATTCCTGACCTTGGGACATCCAAGTGTTCTGGGACTGCAGTTCCCAGAAGCCTCCACCACCAGCTGTGTTGCCCCGGGAGTTTAACCCATTTCTCCTTCAGCAGATTTCTAACTAAATTTCAGGGATTTGACTAGTGTGTGTGTGTGTGTGTGTGTGTCTGTGTGTGTGTTCCCTCCCCCCCCGGAATAAACGTTTATCCTTGGACAGTATACTTCTCAAAAGAACCAGCCAACCAGGTTAATCTTACTGAAGCTATAAAAAGCTTAAGCTGTTATGCTCCAGATAATCCTTACTGTACTGCCCTCCAGCAGAAGTCGAAAAAGTAAGCACAAAAATCCAGGCCATCATATCTACCCGTGAGCTTCCTAAGGGAACTGGGGAAAGGGGGACCTGTTAGCAATGAAACAACGGCTTGGACAGAGGCTTCTGTCCATTAAGGCTCCAGGAGGCAGCCTCATTATTGTTTTTTGGATATAACGAGAACATAAATGTATTAAATAGTAAAGATGAAAACCAGTGACTCCCACTGAAGAGGTCAATGTAATGTTAACATTTATGGCCCTTTTTAAAGATCTGCCCAGGAAGGTCTTTCTTTCTTTCTTTCTTTCTTT